GACAATGCAGCTTCTCACATGAACTTGCTTACTCTACAGTGCTACTAAATCATGGTTACCAAAGGGTTGTGTGTTTTCAATCATCAAAGTACTTAAAATATTATAATAATGCTTGGCACTTTTCAACTTCAAAGCATGCTGCAAACAGTAATTAGGTCTAATAACCCTGCTGTGACAGTGAGACATTCCTATCTCCTGTCTTACAGGGCCAGGGGGGTCAGCCCCTGATCCGGTTGCATCCATCCTGTGTGAGACAGGAGATCTCCCAGTGCAGGCTGTGATTGATAAACTGACCTCCCCACAGGCACATACCCAGGGCCAGCAGCAGCAGGGAGGGCTCAGAGGATGCTTCCCAGCCTAGAGGGGAGGGGGCAGGACACTTGCAGTGCTCTGTTGGGCCGTGTCCCCAGGACTGTAAAACCTGGGCTCGTTCACATTTTCTTCCCTGGAGTCCTGGAGCAGCATTGGAAACAGAATTGGAGAAAAGTTTTTACCCTGTCTTGGCTTCCTGGCTTGGTGTGCTTTCACCACCCAGCAAAGCACTGTGGAGACTGGGGAGAATACTTGTGTCAACTGGGGGTCATTTTTCCTTTTGCAAGCTGTCTTTGAGTTGTTCCTTTGATAAAGGAGCAGCTCTTTAGTCCTTCTTTTTAGTTTATGACATGTAGGAGATAAAAATTGTGCAGGAAGTAATTGATACATTTAAATAGCAGAGACTTATAAACTGGTTAAATGTCCAAACCACTGTTAAACACTTTGAGACGGTTCTGCTTTAATTTTTATTTAAGAGTTCCACAAACCTGCATTCTTTTGGCTGTTTGTCATGTTGGTTGCAATCACCAGTTGTGATCAGTCCTTGGGATAGAGTAATTTCTAGGTTTCATTTAATTATCTGCTTGATTATCTGAATGTTTGCTGGAGTGTTTGTGAGGTCTCTGCCTCCCACCCGAGGTGGTGGAATCCCTCAGCCTGGTGCAAGGTGGAGCTGTCAGGAAATGGAAGTTGCTGGTTTGTCACGGGCAGTGCAAAACCTTTGTGTTCTCTGGGAAAGCAAGGCTGAAAGCACTCGGGGGAGAAGGGGCTTCCCCCCAAGAGCTGCTGCTGGTGTCAGGAGCCTGCCCACAGCCGGGGGCTCCCCTGTGCATTCCCTGCTCTGCTGCTGCAAACTGGTCTGACAGGGAATGCAGGGGCAGGGTTTGTGAAACCCCACCCCGTGAACTCTGCCTGGGCTGCTCATTGTCATTCTAATGAGCCGGCAGCAAGTTGCATCAAGTTCTGTCAGAAGCTCTTGACTTTTTTTGTTTCAATATTATGAAAGCAAATAGTAACCAGGCTTGGCTAGACACAGCCATTCAAAGGGAAGCCGAGCAGCAGGGCCTGGGTGCCAGTGGGCAGGGTGATGTCACCTTCCCTGGCTGGCCAGGTGCTTGGCTCAGCTGGCCAAAGGAACATCAGGGGGGTTTAATTTGTAATTCCTGCCTAATTGACAGGAACAGATTACAGCTGCACAGAACAGGCTGGTGCTGTGCAGGGCCCCCAGTTGCTCCAGGACCCTGAGAGGTGAAGCCCCCTTGTCCAGCACCTGGAGCTTGGGCCAGGCCTCCCAACATTCCAACATCCCACCATCCCAACCTTCCAATGTCCCAACCTCCCAACATTCCAACATCTCAACATTCCAATATCCCAACCTCCCAGTATCCCAACATTCCAACGTCCCGACATCCCAACATCCCAACATTCTAACGTCCCAACATCCCAACATCCCAACATCCCAACATCCCAAAATCCCAACATTCCAACATTCAAACATCCCAACATCCCAATATCCTGACATTCCAACATTCCAACGTCCTAACGTCCCAACATCTCAACATCCCAACATTCCACCATCCCAACGTCCCAACATCCCAACGTCCCAACATTCCACCATCCCAACATTCCACCATCCCAACCTCCCACCATCCCAACATCCCAACCTCCCAACCTCCCAACATCCAACATCAAGGTGTTGCACCCACCCTGCTGCCCTGGGGCTGGGGGCACCAGCACTGCCTCTCCTGGGGTTTCCTGTCCCCCAGCTGCAGTTGCCAGCCCTTCTCCCCTGGCTGCAGTTTGCTCATGATGCCCAGGCACTCCAAGGGTGGTGTCTGACCATGTTCAGTGCTGTCATTTAGTCAACCCTTCCAGAGGGCAGTGGAACCCACACTTTTGCCTTTATTTCTAAAAGGCAGAATGTAGAAGCCAATATAGGCAACCATGGTTGTTTGAGTGATAACTTGCTGTTTCTTGTTTATGAGATAATTATTGTACAGTCCCTGAATTAAATTATTGTAAGGTAAAAGGCCTGTCAATCCTATTAATCATTGCCAGTAATAGTCATTATCATGTGAGCAAGCTGCTTGCCTGCTTTATGAGTTTAGGCAAGTCAGTTCCCTAATAGGTGTCTTGTTCTTTTTCAGCTAAAAAATGGGGGAAATGGTATTTTCCCTCAGTTTTGAAAGGTTTTGCTGGGAGTGCAGTGTGCTGCAGAGGTGGCAGGTGTAGGGCAGGGAGAGCAGCTCTGTGTGCTGGCAGGGCTGATGGGGACACTCACAGTGGGGCCAGGCACAGGGCAGCTGAGGCCTGATGTGTCTGAGAGGCCCTCCAGAGCACTGGCTTTGCCTTCTTGGTTTGGATCAGAGGCTTCCCCCTCCATCCCAGTCCAGGGAAGCACTCACCCCACTGGCTCCATGCTGTGCCAAGGAAAGAACAGGAGCAGAATTTGTGCCATTCCCACCAACCTCAGCGCTGGCAGGCTGGGCCTCAGAGTGGGATGTTGGGGTCTTCCTGCCCCTTCTGCAGTGCCTTGGGAGATGCTGGTGCCTCCTGCACTGGCACCTTGCTCTCCTGCAGAGATCCTTCAGCAGCTGGTGCTGGGATTTGTCCCAGATCTGCCCTGCTGCTTTCTCAGCACGGTGGGTGTGTGCTGGGGTGAGGGCAGAGCTCCTTCCCCTGCAGCAAACACCCAGCTCCAGCTGAGCACAGGGAAAGAGCTGCTCTGGCACATCCAAGGCACCCTCTTCTGGGTGGACACTTCATCTCCACCAGCTGAAGACAAGTTGTGTGCCAAGCCTGGATCTGACAGACACATGTCCTTTACAAAGCCATTCTGGCCTCTTTCCCTTTTTCCTTTCATTCCATGTACTTTACCTTTCCCTAAAGAGGTTTAAAAACAGCTTTGACGAGCAGGAGGGAAGATCTAGATGTGGTTGCTCCTGCATCAGCTGGGAGAGTCCCAAGGTCCCCTGATTGCTGTCCCAGCCCTGTGCCTTGCTCAGGCATGGCCCAGTTTTACCTGAGACTCTCAGAGGGGATGAGCACATTGCCCAGGTCACCAGGGTCCTGGTCCCCACCAGAGCCAGCAGGCAGCTGGAAAGACAAACAAGAGCAGACTCCACCTACCAGCAGTATGGAGACAGCAGCCTGTGAGATCCACAGCCCAAGAATGTGCACACAAAGGAAGCATTTCCCTCAGCCACGACAGTGAAACCACCAGACAGCCACATGCAGCATGTGATTTCCCAAAAGCATCAGCCCAATCCCAACTCCTCTGTGCCACACGCTGTTTCCCAGGATCACATCACAGTGGCAATGTGTAAAAGGCTCTTCCAAACACTGAAAATTAATCATATTTTCCTCAGTGTTGTTTATGGAAACCATGGGGAGCACTCCTGCCCCTGTGAGCCGGCTCAGCGTGCCAGCCCTGGGTGTCAGAGCCTCCAGGAGATGGAGATGGGTGCTGTTCAAACCCCCCATGGAGATGGGTGCTGTTCAAACCCTCCAGGAGATGGAGATGGGTGCTGATCAAACCCTCCAGGAGATGGAGATGGGTGCTGTTCATACCCTCCAGGAGCTGGTGCTGTTCAAACCCTCCAGGAGATGGGTGCTGTTCCTGGTGAGCTGCAGGACACATCCAGGCTCATTCCATGGGGTGAAGCTCTGGCAGTGATCTGGATCAAGAATTCCTCTTGCCCTCTGCCCTGCCCAGTGTGGCTGCTGGCACAGCCTGGGGCAGCTGCTGTCCCTGGGGCTGCCAGGGGCTGCCCAGAGCTCCCACAGCCCAGAGCTTTGGCCACTGGGACCCTGGAGAGTGGGAATGAGGTGAGCTGGGATGAGCTTTCCCTTCTCATTCTCTGGTTTTACACTGGTGAAGCTGCACTGCTTTCAACAGAGCAGCTCTGATCTGCTGAATCTACAAACTGATTGTGCTTGGTGGTTCTTGAATTCCTGCTTTGAATCCTTTCTGTTGGGACTCTCTGGAGTCTGCTGTGCATTTCTTCACTGTAAAGGGAGCACCAGGTACTGACTGTCACAGGCTTTGTCAGTCAAAGGGAGCCATCAGTTAATGACTGTCACAGGCTTTGAGTTCCACATGGGCTAATGAAATGGCAAATATCAAAGCTTGAATACAAACTCTCTTGTTTTCTGTGTGATTTTACTGCCCTTCCCTCCATCATGTGTGCCTTGAATTGCTTTAGTGTTGCAGACATCTGCTGTGGTGTTGATTATTGATATTTTTGAGGGTGGCAGGAACACCCATATGCAGAATCCTTTATGTTGTCCTTTGGAGACAAACGCTGCTGCTGTGGATTGCAGGGGATGTGAGCCTGCTGGGATTTTACCTGCCAAGAAAATTGTCTCAATTTGCAAAGGAGCCTTTTCCCCAAAATCCATTTTGAGCCTGGATTGCAAGTTTTTCAGGGATTGTTATCAGCTGGGTTCCATAACCTGCACTCAAAGGTGACATTTAGTAGGCACCTAAGGCAAGGTTTGGTACCTGATTTGGTCAGGCCAGATAGAGCCAAGGGCCTGACCCTTGCACGGGCCCTGCAGGGATGAGAGGGCCAGGAACAGAGCCCAGGGACAGGTACAGGGACAGGGGGTGTGCTTTTCACTTTGTATCCTGAACACCTGGGTTTGGGGATGAAAACCAAAATTCTGATGGTCCTGTGCTTTAACAGGGAGAAGACTGCGAGGAAAAGCTTTCTACAATGTCAATGGCAAGGTGTACTGTGAAGAAGACTTCCTAGTAAGTAAGATTTCAGGCATTTTTTTTATTCTTGCTAAAACAAGTTGTGCTTTTATGTTGGCTTGTTTGCTTTGAGAGACAGTTGATGATGTGGGGCCTCCTGGCAGTGGTGGAATGGGGAAGCATCTGCCACTGACTCCCTGGTTTGAGGTGGTGGTTGTAAAACCAAGAACATAACTGTCCATAAGCCATCAGAAAGTGTCAATTGTGAGAAAAAACACTGGAGCTGCTCAGGCCTGGGACTTGAATTGCAGCCACAGAGACTCTCCTGCCAAGGCTGAGCTGGAAGTGCAACATCTGGGGAGTAGCAGTGCTCAGAGGAGGGATCAGGGCTGCTCTGTGCTGCTTCAGGGCTGTGCTCAGCATTGCTCTGTAGGGGCACAGTTTAATCACTGCTCTGCTCTGCTCATGGGCTCTGGGGCTGCCCTGGGAGCTGCTGCCCATGGAGGGGCAGCTCAGGCTCCCTCCCTGCTCACAGAGCTTCTGTAAATGCTTTAATTTAATAGAGACTCAGGCAGGAAAGGAAAGATGAAGCCTGTTGCTGAGCTGTGTTGTTCCAAAAATAAAATATTCATGCAATTAAGGGTGAGAATTGTGCAGTGCACCACAAATGATTTGATAAGTGCAGACCATTTAGAATTAAGATGAAGAGGATGGCATGGCTGGGAATTGCAATTAGAGAGCAATGATATATTTTAGCTTAGAGGAAGATGAATTGGACAATCAGTATGTTGAATTAATGCCACCTTATTTATTGAATTACCATTAATTTGGAGGCTTGGGTCCTCCAGAAGACTTTCCATTTGTAATGAATATATAATCATGCTGTTTGCAAAGGAATTATTCAAAGTGTATCCTACAATAAAATTGTAACTGGCAGCTCAAAGTGCACAAATGCATTTGTCATCAATGCAATGTATAAAAATCATGGAAATTCCTAAAATATAAATTATATTTGCTTTCATGTGTTACACCTTTACTGTGAGCTGGAGCCTGTTGGAAAAGAAATTTTTCTGTTGTGCAGAAAATAAGTATCTTGTTATAATTTAAACTCATTCTTGTTTTGCTTGCATTCTGGAGAGGAAATTCTTTTTTCTTCCCTGCTTTTTTCAGCTCTTTCTTTACTGTGTTTCTGCAGAAGCACAGGGAGGGGGAGAGGAGATGGAGTGTGAGAGGGAGGGGCTCAAACCTTTGAGATTTTTCATTTGAACTGTGTTGGAATGTACTTTCCCTGTGATCAAAACCTTTCATCCAGACTTAATGACATGATTGTTGTTATTAGCTTGTAATTTCAGCCTAAACACAAGAATTTGAAATCTAAAAATCTTAATCTTTTGGAGAACATTCAGTTTTCATGGGGTGGAGGGGAAACTCTTTAGTTCAGGCATGTTCTGTAGTGGGTTTCTGAAGGAAGATGTTTGCAGAGATTTTCCCAGAAAAACTGACATTAAAGACTGGATAGGAATAAACTTTCTGCAAGTTAGGGAACTGTTGGGACACTGAAGGCATAGATTTAAAAGCCCAGGTGTGTTTTAGCAGATCCCAGTAGCAGAGGGATGGGGGAGAAGCAGATGGAGGGACACTGTGTAAGTCAGCAAAGAAACCAAACTCTGATGTGATCCCTGCTTGTGGCAATCCTGCTGCTGCTGCTCAGGAAGTAGCTGCATCTTCCCTCAGCTCCCCTGAGCAAATGTCATAGCAAGAATCCTAGGAATTGTATGGTGGCACTAATGAAATCAAACAACCTTGCCTGTTTTACAGTTCTGTGAACAGGGAAAGCACAAAGCTGTTCTCAAAGTTGAAAGGAAACAGGCTGCAAAATAGCCATTAAAGAGGAAATCATTTTAACTGCTTCATCTTCCCAGGTCTTCCTCTTGAACACTGGGAAACCCAATCCTTTCTAAGAAGAGGCATTTTCAGTCCAAAGCAGAAAATTAAATGACTTTTCTGTATAAGTGAGAATTTCAGTCTCTACCATGACTCAGTTCTTTAGTGCAGCTCCCTTTGGTGCAGCAGGATTCCCTGCTGCCCCCATGGTAGTGGAATGGTAGGGAAGTTAGGGCAGGGGGATAAGAAAAAGATTATTTCAGGTTGGGAATGTAAGCAGATCCGGTCTAACTGCATTAGAATTGTATTAATTAGAATTGTATTAATTAGAATTGTATTGCTGCTAAGAAAATGCTGCCTGCCGTGGTGTCCTGCCTCTTTCTGGGCTTTTGTTTGTCTGGGAATCGACCAGGAGAGTGGGATGCTCCTGCTGGCCTGGAGTGGGGTCACAGCTCTGTGCTCCTGCAGCCCCACAGCTGTGACAGCTTCTCTCAAACATGGCAGGGGCTGGAGAGCAGAGCAGCCTCAGCAGCCACGGGCAGGGGGGCAGGAGGGGCAGTGCTGTCCCATGGGTGACAGCCAGGGGAGCACAGGAGGGGCAGTGCTGTCCCTGGGGCCCTGGTGACAGCCAGGGGAGCACAGCAGGGGCAGTGCTGTCCCACAGGGTCCTGTGACAGCCAGGGGAGCACAGGAGGGGCAGTGCTGTCCCATGGGGTCCTGGTGACAGCCAGGGGAGCACAGGAGGGACAGTGCTGTCCCATGGGGCCCTGGTGACAGCCAGGGGAGCACAGCAGGGGCAGTGCTGTCCCATGGGGTCCTGGTGACAGCCAGGGGAGCCCAGGAGATGCAGTGCTGTCCCATGGGGTCCTGGTGACAGCCAGGGGAGCACAGGAGGGGCAGTGCTGTCCCACAGGGTCCTGGTGACAGCCAGGGGAGCACAGGAGGGGCAGTGCTGTCCCATGGGTGACAGCCAGGGGAGCACAGGAGGGGCAGTGCTGTCCCACAGGGTCCTGGTGACAGCCAGGGGAGCACAGCAGGGACAGTGCTGTCCCATGGGGCCCTGGTGACAGCCAGGGGAGCACAGCAGGGGCAGTGCTGTCCCATGGGGCCCTGTGACAGCCAGGGGAGCACAGCAGGGGCAGTGCTGTCCCATGGGTGACAGCCAGGGGAGCACAGGAGGGGCAGTGCTGTCCCACGGGGCCCTGGTGACAGCCAGGGGAGCACAGCAGGGGCAGTGCTGTCCCACAGGGTCCTGGTGACAGCCAGGGGAGCAGGGGCTGTGTGAGCCTCGAGATCCTTCAGGCATGCCCAGACTGAGAGCTCGATGCTCCCTTGTTCCTCACAGAGCCACCGAGGCAGCGGTGCCTGGATGAGCCCCTCTTGTGCCCCCCAGTAAGGGGGGAACTGCAGTCCTGTCAGTGGGGGACAGAGCTGGTGGCACCTGGAGCAGGGCTGTCCCCTTGCAGGGAGGGCTGTCACTCCTGCAGAGCTCTGTCACCCCACTGCTGCCTCTGCTGATCCCATTCGTGTGCTGCAGGTGCTTCTTCCCTGTCACCCCTGGAGGCACACTGGGAATGTCCACAGTGATTTTGGGGCTGCAGTGAGTAGCACCTGCACAGTGATGGGCAGAAAAGCTGAAATGGCTCTTGAAGTGAACAAATGCAGAAAATTTTAGCGAAGAATGGATATTATTTATGGGTTTCTTCCCATTGTAGCTGCTAGAAATACTGAGCATCCTATAGATGTCAGTATTTTATTTCTCCTGCAAAACCACATTTTGCTGTGCCAGACCAGCTCCAGCTGGAACAGTCTCCAGAGCTGCAGTCAGGGGCTCAGATGGGATAACTGGTTCCTTAACTACCACTCACTCCTCACAAATCAGCTCTTCCACTCAATCAGAGGTGGGATGTGGAATTCACTGCAGTGTCCCTGAAGCCAATTCACCTGTGGTCCCTGAAGCCAAGACCTTGGAAAAACCCATTTTCTGATCCTTTCAGATGTTTGGCTCTTAGAAGAGCCCTCCTTGGCTGAAGTGTCTCCCTCGAGGTCCAGCCAGTGCTGGGTCCAGCTGCTACATAGGTCTCGTCTCTTCTCTTCTCTTCTCTTCTCTTCTCTTCTCTTCCCTTCCCTTCCCTTCCCTTCCCTTCCCTTCCCTTCCCTTCCCTTCCCTTCCCTTCCCTTCCCTTCTCTGGCCATGGCTCCTGTGCAGGTGGCATTTGATCACAGCACATTTGTCACCTTAAGCACAGTGAGTCCCTGAGAGCTTTGGCTGCCCAGTGCTTCCAAAACTTCAGGGAGGAGCTGCTGGCATCAACCTTTCCAAATGTACCCCTCTATTGGAAAAGGGCTTTTGGTTTGTGGACACAGGCCAGGGCTGAGCTGCTGCTGGTGTTATAGATGGATAATGAGATGAATGGAATGTGAATATTGAGAGAAGTTTTAGTGATGTATGGTTAGGTTATTGTGGTTTAGATGGCCTCTGTTCTCCCCACAGTTCCCTTTCCCCCTGTATTGCTGCCATCAGGCAGCCTGGGCTGTCTAGCACAGGTACAAAGAAGCTGCACAGGTGCCCCTTGCATGGGGCAGTGGGGAATGGAAAAGCTTGGGGGTGCTCAGGGGGTGGGCATGGCAACACCTGAGCTCCAATGCAGGTACAAAGCAGTCTGCACTGATAAATGGCACAGAAGAGCTGGCTGACAGACCTTGGGAAGGGCCAGGGCTGGCTGATGCAACCCCAGGGGTATAAAAGACTGAGCATCCATCTCGAACTGGCAACATGGTATCCACAAGGGGCAGTTCCCAGCGCTGCAGCTTTTTCCTTATGCAGTCCTTTGTTGTATTTTTGTCAAGGTTTAACAAACCTTTGTAAATTTTCAAAGTGAGCAGTTGTCTCTCACACTGGTGCTCCTGGTGAGTGCTGTGGGGCTGCCCCAGCACAGCCCCCACTGCCCCTGCCAGGGCCACAAGGCACATCCTCCTGGCAAGAAGTTTTCCCATGTTTGCTCCTACTGAGGGCACATTCTCCATGCCAGCTGGTTTAGTTTGCTCTGTCTTTGCAGGGAAGAAGTGTCAGAAGTTTTTTCCCCACTTGTGCAGTTGTAGGTGGGCAGGGGATGCCACGGTGGGGCTGGGAATGGATGGCTGGGGATCCCCTGCACCTGGAGGATGTGGAA